TTTCCCAAATTTGAAGGGGGCCTTTCTAGTCACTTTTGGGTTTGAGAAGAGACCCATCCTGGATCTACCACAGCTTGAGGGGACGTACAGTCACTCTAATGTATATACTGTATTCAGTATTTTCTTTTTAAATCCCCTCTTATCACCTAGGAGCATGACCAAAATCCGAAGACGGCTTTTATGTTCTTACTGTTTAAGGGCATATCAAAACCACACTTGAACCTTTTAAAAAGAAATCTTTTAATAGTCTCCAAAATACGTATGGTGGCACATTTTCGTCAGAGTAGGACAGGGGTTCCCAGACTGTGTGCCATGGCTCCGTGGGGCTCCCAGGACTGGAATCAGGGGTGCGATGGGAGAAGGGTCAGAACGTAAGGCGATGGAGGCTGTAGAGCAGCAGTTCATAGCTCTGTGTCAAACAGGAACCGGAGTTGAAGGCTGTGTGCCTGCCTCTCCTTGCCCCATCCCTATGGTTCCAGGTGCAGGCCCTTGCCAGGTGGCCTCAGGAATGTCCTGCATTAGGACCTGGAAAAAGGTGGGCCCTCTGGAGTACTGTAGGGCGGAGGAGATGGGATGGCTTGGGAGGAGTGTCTGTCCTCCAAGCAAAGGAAGCAGTGGCCAGTGATCAGTAAATTATTAAATGAGACGTTAGTCCATAACGTTTGTGAATCACTGGGGCAGGAGGATCTATCTCGGCCAGGATTCTGTTGGCAAAATTGTCATTATTCTTACATGCAGTCAAGTCGCCTTTGACTTAGGGTGACCCCATGAATGAGCTGTCGCCAAAACATCTAGTCCTCAACAGTCTTGCTTGTTGTTTCAAGCTTATGGCTTCCTTTATGCCATCAGAGTGGTATCATCTGCCTATCTGAGGTTGTTGATATTTCTTCCGGCAATCTTATTTCCGGCTTGGGTTTCTTCCAGTCCAGCCTTTCGCATGATGTGTTCTGCATATAGGTTAAATAAGCTGGGGGACAATATACAGCCTTGTCGTACTCCTTTCCCAATTTTGAACCAATCAGTTGTTCCATATCCAGTTCTAACTGTTGCTTCCTGTCCCACATATAGGTTTCTCAGATAAAGTGGTCAGGCACTCCTATTTCTTTAAGGACTTGCCATAGTTCTACACACTCAATGGCTTTTGCGTAGTCAATGAAGCAGAAGTAGATAAATGAACTGGTGGACTCTTTTTAGGAGTCAATCCATCTCATAAATACTATGATAGTTTCATTGGGCTTAAATATATAATTAGTTGTGTTTTCAATTCTACTTTATTAAAACTGTGAACCAACTTGAGTCCTCTTATCGGAAGAAAGGCAGCCTATAAATAAGACAAATAAGTAAATTTAAGCTGAAATGTCACTGGGCAGGGAATAGCCGCGGGGCTGGGTGACCTCCCTTCAGAAGGGGGTGTTTCAAAGATCCCCATCATTTGGGGGGCAGGGTGGGAAGATTCCAAAAAACCACTTTTACTAAAGTGATGCCACAAAACCTCATGGATGGTGCAAGAATTGAAGGGATCAGGTCTGCCCAACACTCTCTGCCTCTTTTCATTGTCCTCACAGGCAATAGATCTTCTCTTGGGATTCATTCCAGAACGTCTCTGATCTGTGATGTTCCTGTGGAGGAGCCGAATAAGGTAGGAAAAGAACAGCCAGGACAGGTGCCTTCTTCCTCACCAGGGACTGGGAGAACCTGGTCTCTGTTGGATATACTGCAATCTACATATGATGCCTTTAAAAGGTTTTGGCTGGAAGGCACTTTTCTGGACTGGGGTTGAATATCTAGTTGCAGCCAGTTGATCCCTCTCTGCCCCAGGTCCTTTTCCCTGTCTTTTTCCAGTCAGCCTTCTGTCAGTTAGCGTGAGGTGTTCTGTCGGCTGCGCAATGAGTCAGTTCATCTCTAATTAAGTTAGTTAACCAGTTAAGCTCAGGGATGTAACAAGTTTAACATTTTTACGCAATATTATGTTTATTTTTTATATATGAAGAACTGTAAGTAAACAGAAGCTCTTTCATTACCAGAGTCTCTGAGTGAATGATTGAGAGAGTACAGTAAGTGCCAGTTGCAGTAAATTAACCAAATAAGGAGTGGTCAGCTGGGGAAGACTTGGTAGCTCAATCTTCTCTGTAGATTTCCTGTCAGAACCATTTTATCTGCTACATTAGAGGAAAGTTAATATTTTCTGTAAGCCACATTCAGTTTTCTTACACCACCCTCTGCTGCCCAAGAGTCTTTTCCTTATCCTACACAACAACAGCAGCAACAACAATAATAATAGAACCATGGAGCTGAATCATAGAATCTAGTGCCTGTCAAGGAGTTGCAGTGGGGGATCGAACTTCCAACCTCTGGTTCTACAGCCAGATTTTATTTTATTTTTTTTGCGGGGGGGGGCTTGATCTCCCCGGATCAGCCTTGGCCTCTTTCTTCCAGGCTCCAGTGACCTTTGAGGAGGTGGCTGTACATTTCACGGAAGAGGAGTGGGCCCTGCTGGATCTGGGCCAGAAGACCCTGCACCGGAAAATCATGGAGGAGAACCATGGGCTTTTGGTCTCACTGGGTAAATTTACTCCTTTGCCTCTTTGATTCTTTACAGGAATGTAAATGGCACCAAGAGGCATCGGGATTTCCCCCTTTGGAGCACAATTCTAGACATTCAAAGCAAAGCTTATCTACCACCCCATAGTGCTTAAAGCTCTCTCTGGGAAGCTTACAATTTAATTATGCAGGCTGCTCATTGCCCCCTCCTGCCAGCAAGGAGGGTTGCTCAGTTTACCGACCTCAGAAGGATGGAAAGCTGAGTGATCCTCAAGCCGGGTACCTGGGATTGAACCCAAGTTGTGAGCAGAGTTCTGGCTGCAGTACTGCAGTTTAACCACTGCAAGACGAGGATCCATCCCAAGGCTAAGGGGTCGACACTCTTCCCTTACAAACTGCCCAGGTGGACGATGAACCTTGAGAAGGGGATCTGGGGTAGGAAGGTTCTTAGGGGGACAAGTCATCCTTCTGGGGACTTTTTTCTCCAACATTGAAGGAAATGCTTTAAAAATCAACTCGGAATTTGGGGTCACTGCCGCTGTTGGAGAAGCCTTAGAGCCGTGGTTCTCCACCTGGGGTCCCTGGATGTTCTTGGACTAAAATTCCCAGAAGCCTTTTCACCCCTTAGCTTTCGGATCTAGTCCGACAAGAGGGACATTCCAGCATCTTATCCATAAGCTCCCAGATCATGGATCAGTGGGGCTAGAGTAGCTGTGCGTGCTATAGGGCATGGGTGGATTGGTAGGATCCCAAACGCACCTTCAAGCACTTCTGGTCCTCTCCGGCACCCACACACCCTCCAAAAACAATGTGGACAATTTTTTTAAATGATCAGAGAACTACATGTGTCTATTTTTTCCGTGTTCTGAGAAATGTCAGGCATCCTTGTGGGTGTTATGTGCCGTCACGTCAGCTCAGACTTATGGGGACCTTATGAATGAGCTGTCTCCAAAATGTCCTGTCTTCAAACAGCCCTGCTCAACTCTTGTAGACACACACCTTCGGCTTCCTTTAGAGAGTCATTCCATCTTGTATTGGGTCTTTCCTCTTTTCCTGCTGCCTACACCTCCGATTAAAATTAATAACAATACCATCCTTTTTTTCAGCCACGAGAGGGTGCAAGTGAGCCTTGGGTCCTTTTGAGGAGAAAGGTGTGTGTGTGTGTGTGGAGGGAATATTTAAATTAAAAAAATAAAAAACATATTTGTATTCTCGAAGGCTTTCATGGCCAGGATCCGATGGTTGTTGCAGGTTTTTTTGGGCTGTCTGGCCGTGTTCTGGAGTTTTTTTTTTTTCTTCCTAATGTATTCTCGAAGGCTTTCACGGCCAGGATGGGAAGAGAAAAACCTCAAGAACACGGCCAGAGAGCCTGAAAAACCTGCAACAATCATCAAAAACATTTTTATTTATTTTGTTAAATGCCTATAACAGTGGATGTCACTATGGGTGAGTGTAAGTGTGGTAGTATACAAGTTAGCTAGTTAGTTATCTATTGATAAATGGCGGACCTCCTTCGGTCCCATCTTGAGAAGGCAGGATTCTCTGGAAAAGACCATCCTGCTCAGGGAAAAGTTGGAAGGCAGCAGGAAAAGAGGAGGACCCAATACGAGATGGACTGATTCCCTAAGGGAAACCACAGGCTCAAGTTCGGAAGAGCTGAGCAGGGCGGTTGAGGACAGGATGTTTTGGAGAGCCTTCATTCATAGGATCGCCATGAGTCAGAGAAGACTTGGTGATACATAACAGCAACGACACAATAGGCGGCGGCAGCATTGCACCTTTAAAAGCTTGGGCGTGCACCCAGCCATTAACTGGTCCTGGTCTCTGGATTGTGGAGTTTTTTCCCTCCCTTCTTCTCTCTTTCTTCCTGCAGGTAAACTGAGGGAGAACGAGACGGATGCTGAGCCCCCGAGAGGTGAGGGGGAACACAGGGAGGAGCCTGTCCTCCCTGAAAGCTCTGGTTTCGGCGAAAACACCCCCCGCGAAGGACACGACAAGCCACCGGTCCCCCGGGATGCAAAACCCACAACGGGCCAATCGAAGCTTGACAAACCTCAGGGAAATCCCAGTGAGGAGACCCCGTGGAAGTGCGTGGAGTGTGGGAAGAACTTTACCCGGAGGGACAGCCTCTTTCGGCACGAGCGTTGGCACCGAGGGGAGAAGCCGTGGGTATGCTCCTTGTGCGGGAAATGCTTCAGCGAGAGGTGCCACCTCACCCGGCACCAACGGGTGCACTCGGGGGATGAGGTGTGGCTGTGCGCGGTGTGCGGGAAGAGCTTCATGTACAACCACAGCCTGCTCAGGCACCAGAAAATCCACACGGGGGAGAAGCCGTTCCAGTGTTCGGAGTGCGGGAAGTGCTTCATGGAGAACTCGGCCCTCTGCAAACACCAGAGGGTGCACACGGGGGAGAA